AGGACTAAAGCACTGGGTAAAGCCTGAAATTTTGTCTGAACACCTGAACCTTTATTTCTTTCTCTTCCTCACCTTGAGTTGCTCCTTAAAAACAGCAACAAAGCTGAGTTAGGACAGACAGGTGAGAGAATTTTACTGCCATTGGCTTCCCTATCAGCAGCAGGAGCATCACCTGTCCCCAGCCCATGGCAAGCTCTGATATCACAGGAGCACCTGGGGGCCCTGATGGCCTTCCCCAGCCTCAGCTGGGACTCACACCTGCCCATGGGCACTGGAGCCTCTTGCAGCTCAACCCTTCAGCTTTTCTTCAGAAGGGACCTTGCATCATCCCTTTTCTCCAGCCTGGAATCTGTTTGCTCCCATCTGCTGGACTGTGGTGAACNCTGGTCCCAGCCCGGCAGGACTGCCCCGTGGGTGAGGATTGTCCCTGACTCCCAGCTGGACCTGCTGCTCTCCAACAGTGAGTTTTTGTGTTTTGAGTGGTGGTGAAGGCAGAGCTGTGTGTGAGCCACATCGTTATGCTGGCATGAACCTGGGAAAAAGGGCTGGAGGGCAGCCTGCACTAAGGGACTGCCTGAATTCTGCCACGTGTTTGACCACCACGGGTGTGCCTTTCCCAGAGCTGGGGCAGCCCTGCTGCACTGTCACCCATTGCTTTGGAAAGTGCATCTGAGTCTTGGGAACCGAGTTGGGTGTCAGGGTTCTTGTGCTGTCCTGCCTCTGAGAACATCCTCTGGCACTGCTGAGCTGGGGGAGAAGAGGCAGAGTCACTCTCTCCCTGCAGAGTGAGAATGGAGAGTGGTCCTGCCCCTCAGCCCTGTGGATGTGGCTGGGGACAGGGCAGGGAGGCTTCTGTGAGAGCAAGGGCAGGTTGGTGTGGCAGTGATGAGAGTTGTGGTTAACTGGGTTAATTATATTCATGTTGCTAGGAACACGGTGAATTATGTTAATAGCAGCATCTGGGGAAATTACATCTTCATTAATTGGTCCTGATTACTGTTTGGCAGATGTGAGATGTTTCTGACTTTAACGTGCAGGACAAAATTTATTGTAATCAGCACACGCAGTAACTGCACAAGTACTCTTACCATGCCTTGCTAATTGACTCTGTGAAGAGGAAGGGATGGCAAAGACCTGCAAGGCCATCTCACCCTTGCTCTCTTGCCCCAGCCAGGACAGGCTTGTCTTCTGATTCCTGCTCTAGTGCTTCTTCTGATAGAGCTCTGAATGTTGTTTTGAGTTAATAATGGTGATAATATGGTTGACAGACACAGGAGAGCAGTCATGGGGCTGAGGATGCTTCTGTTGGTGTTGTACCCTCGAGCTGGCCTTGCTCTGCCCCCAAGGCTCCTCCTCATGGATGTAGCCTGGGGGCAGCCGGGTCTATTCACATGCTTGGAGTCAAACGCGTTGGTGATTTGGAGACCTTTGATCCCAGCAGGAAGGACAGGAGGCTCACCCGGGCAAGGCTGTCCTCAGGGCACCACCCCTGGGTGGCACACGGAGCTGCTGGCCCCATGTGAAGAGATGCCAGCCATGGCCAAAGCAGGGGTGAGCTTCATGCAGTCTGTGGCACTGATCATTGCAATGCTGCAGCTTCCAGTCAAGGAATAAACCACATTGCAGTGAGCTATCACACCGTGGCAGAAAGTTCCATTCTTAACCACGGCAGAGATCCTAATCCCTTTGGATAAAGCCCCCAAAGCTCCAAGCAAATGCAGAGGTAATTCATTACCTCCCTGGGGAAGCAGGGGCTGAAGCACAGGCGATGCACCGAGTCCCTCATAAGTTATGAGGCTCGTCTGGGGACAGCAGTAAGTTGTGTTATGGCCTTGCTTGCTCTGCCTTCTTTTTACACAGCACTATCTTTCATTTTAATAGTGGTTTTTCAGCCAGCTTTGTTAGGGCTGCTGCTAATTGGGCTGGATTCATGTGTCCCACCAGGGCACAGGACAAGCCTGGCACTGCTCAGAAGGGAAGGGTTTTACTGCCTGGTGCTTTCAATGGGCATAGCCCAGGATTTGGGGAGCAGGAGGAGGGGACATGACAGGGATAAGAGAGGAATTCAGCAAAAATTTTAACCCTTGAAGCTCATATACCCTCCCTGACCCACATCTTTTGCTGTGAAATTGGCTTTAAAAGTTCTTCAGTGCTGAAAGTATCAGGTTCAGACCTTCACAAAGTAGTTTTCATAGGTCATCACAAGGAATGAGAACTCATTGCTGGGACAATTCCACCAGAGCTTTGGAAGCACTAAAGTCTGTGCCCTCAAAACCTAGAGCTAGGTTTCACTAGGAATCTGTGACAGGTGCTGAGTGGGGAGCTGACCGTGACTTTTCCACGACACTGCCCCTGTAAATAAATGCAAGGACCAGGAGAGCTGTGATGCACATGAGGTTTGGCTGCAAAGCAATTCTTCTGGCTTGTGAGACACTTTTACCAGGTCCAGGGCTCCCCACGTCCCTCAGCACAGGGGCACTGAGAGGTCAGAAAGCTCCAGGGTTTCTGCTTGTGTTCTCTGAGCCTCTGGGAGACTCACAGAAATCCTCTCCCCACCACTGTTGCACAGCACTTGCCACCTCTGTCCCCACAGCCCTACAGTCCTCTCTGGGTCCTGTGGTCCTGCCAAACTGGCTGTTCCATGGTGACCAGAACTTCCAGCTCCTAGTCACCCCACTAAGATGGACAAACCCCACTAATTAGGTGGAGAAATTAATGTTTAGTGGGAGCATCCACTTGGGATATCTCTAAAAACACAGCTCTGAAATGTGTGGTTCTTTAATCAGAGATGCCATCATCCCACTGCCCCCTCAGCCAGTGTGGCAAAGTGTGTCCCCATCTTGCTGTGGGTCAGACCTCTTTGTCTGGAGGACAGAAGAATATGGTACAGGAGATCTAGGGTCCTTTTTCTCCCCCATCTGGATGAACCAGATGGTAAAACCATTCCAGTTGTTTGCAGAGGTCTTCCCCCATCAGTCATACTGGAAATATCAGGAAACTCCTGTGAGTGGAAGCCTGCTCATGCCAAACACCAAAATAGTTCACATTTGTAGCCAAGAAACACAGCAAGGAGCTTACTAGTTGGCAAACAGACTGAATTGTAGCACTGCTTTTATTTTAAAGGGCAATTAATGCTGTGGAAGAATTCTCTCTGCCTCTTCAATATGCCATGTTTGTTAGTTAAAAGCTCAATTTATGGTTAATGTTATATGATCACATATGTCACAGCTCTGCAGTTGAGCTGCTCAGTGGCATCAAGAAAAGTGTGCCACAGCAGAAGTTCTGAGAGAGGCAAATGGGGGCAGTAGCACTGTGAAACTCCGTGGTACCCACAGAAATTTAGTGGGGAGGTTTTCCAGAGAAGACTGAAACTCTGGATGATGTTACTATTTGTGGGGTTTTCCCTTCCTGTCAGACCTGGGTGTGGTTTTTGCAGATTCCTTTTAGTGAGGGTGGTGCTCAGGGTGTGCGAGTGGCAATGTCAGTCCAGGAAAAGTAATCCAGGCTGGCCCATGAGCCATCCTGTGAACCTGGTATTGGGGCAGGGAACACTCAGGGTCTCCACAGCCAAGCAGAACAGCCTGCATGTGTGTGGGGAAATGAATGTGCTGGTCCATCCTGCTGCTTGGACTGGCCCTGGCCTGAAGCAAGACTTTAGCTTCAACACCAGGCACTGCTGTGTCCATCTCTTAGTCACTCAGCTAAAGCAGAGATGGCAAGCATGTCACCACTGTGACCACCCCAGTGATGGCTCCAGGCTATGATCTCAACTGCTGCCATGCCTACTGCTGACAGTGAGTGGGAAATACTCTTTTTTCGGGGAGAAAGATTCTATTAGCAGTTGCAGAGGGCTAGCACTGGGTTTCTCCTCTTCTTCTGGCTGTCACCAGAGAGATCAGAAATCATTTATTTTTAACGCTATGAATATGTAGAAACTTGTCTGAGCTTCTGCGTGCAGTGGCCATGAATTTAGAAACGGCGTCAGGAATCGTGGCATTCGGCATCCTGTGAATCGGTCAGAGCTATAAATTTCTCTTACTGGTGCACAAGCCATTTGCCATACGTGACTTGCTGAATTTGTGGTCATTTCTCTCTCTGCCCCTGTGTGCAGAGCGTATGACTGAGATTTTATATTGCACCTCTGAGACACAAAGTCCTTCTGGTGCTTTTGCCTTGCATCCTAAACAGCCTCACTCGCTCTTCTCCTCGTCCCCTTGGCTTAATGGCTTCTGGCCACAGCCTGCCCCTTAAATCATGGGCTGCACCTGGACAGGCATAAACTGCAACTGTCCCCTGACACGGAGGGTGTGACTGGAGTGGTGAGGGCCGTGACTCTGAACACAGCTCAGCCTTGGGAGAATGATGCTCCTACACTGAGCCCGAGACGCGTCCTCTGGCACAGGGACTAAAGGTGATTGGGGCAAGTCCTACAGAGACCCCTGACATGTTCAGTGAGGCTTTCCAAGGACACTCATTTGGAATACAGAGGGATGAAATGTTCAGTGTGGATTTTGTGGGATATGTTAAGATGATCTGTGTGTTGGGAGGAAAGCTTAAGCTAAGCAAGTTCACACTGTGGAGACTGGAAGATGATGCTGTCATCCTCCACCTCCACTTTACTGCCTGTGCTTCTCCTCCCCCACCTCTATCTGTTCTAGACATAAAAGCTTTTTTATTGCAACACTATTTTTGCTCAGTGAATTAAAATGAAGCATTTGGAACCCCTCCTTCCCAGTGCAACTGCTCCCAGCAGCAGTGCTCTCTAGCTGGTCCCAGCCCCTCTGGTCAGTCTGGGAAAGGCAAGCCCAGTAACAGGTTATGAGCAGGGTCTTGCTAAACCCAGCTCTGCTGAGATGTGCCTGTGCCTTAGAATGGGTCTGCCCTGATCCACAGACTGCTCCCTATGAGCCTGGTGAATAACTAAAGGCAGCAGAGGTGACCAAGATATTCCCTAACTGAATCAATTCATTGCAGCAGTGCCATCACACAAAAACAGGAACTGTATCAACAGGATTGTTTATTAAATTCTGGTCTGGTTGCAAGGGTACAACCCCACTGAGACCCTTTGGTGTAGAAACATGAAACAAGAGCAGGGGATTTTCTCACGTTGCTGAGAATTGTATCTCGCCTGCAGCTTGCCCTTGAGGATCAAGCACAGGTGTTATCAGGGTCTGAGCCCAATTACCAGGGCAGAGCAGGACACTGGAAACTGCACACTTGTGGGTCAGAGATGAAGCTCATGTGGCCTCTGCTACTAACTCACAGCCACTCTTCAAAGCCAACAAACTACACACACAGCTGTTTCCATCAGGGTGAGGTTTCTGTGCTTGTCAAACGTGAACCTTTGAGCCTTTTCAATTTAATCCTCTTCCAAGTGTATTAGATTTTTGGGGAGATTTTTGAAATAGCAAGGTTTCCTGAATTTCTGATCTATTGGTGCATATCTAAAGCCCTTAACATAATTCATCAGGGCCCTGCCAACATGCAATCTCAATAAAAGCAGAGAAAGCACCTTTGCTATCAGGATTTTTCAACTATAAATTAGTGGAAGGTGATCTTTGTGAAAACAGCACTAGCTTCATGTATTTAGCAGGGAACACATGCCAAGCAAAGGAAATACCAGCTGGAGGGCTGGTGGTGCAAGGTTATGGCTATGGGAACAGGCTGATGATAGAAACTGGTTTCTTGGTCTCTAGCAGACACAAGCAAAGAGACATTTTAAAAGCAAAGGTTTCACAGGAGCTGTCCCTGAAGCTGTCTCTTGAAACTGTGGTTAGGGAAAATGCCTCTGTTGCCTCCACAAACAGAAATCAGAGAAGGTGAGAGCATCCTGGAAGATGCCAGCAGCTTTCTTCTCAGGTTTTGTTCAAGCCTCCATGCATACCTTCAGAGTTAAAAAACTTTCTTGCCGATATTTCATGTTCCCTAACTTTTCAATGAAAGAACAACACAGCCTTCAAAAACAAATCCAAGGACTTTGAAGAAAGGATGATCTTGTACAGCAACCATTTATAACCAAAAGAAAAAAAAAGAATACATTTTGATTATTATGGTAAAGAGAAGGACAGAGGTAAAAAGTCAGAGCTCTTTTGCTGTTTTTTAGAGATACAGGACTGTGCACATCTGGCTTTAAATAAATAATAACAGCAACTTCCCAATGGCCCTTAATCTCCCAGCTTCAAGAGTTTCTGAACTAGCTAAAGGCTACTTTCTTGCTAAGGGCTTTTGTCTCACTCCAACCTACAGCTTTGTGACAAAACTGAAGTTATTAGTGGAAGGGAGGAAGTAGATGCATTAGTGAGTGCACTGCCTTTTGGCTGAGGTTTAGGTTTGCCTGAATTTATTATTTTTAATGTAATCAACTGATTGCTTATTGACCATTTTACTTTAAATGTGGTCTACAGTCAGTCAATCTATCTGCTCCCACCCTTGGTTCCCCTCTGCTATGTCACCATGTCCCAGCACTCTGTGTTGTTTATCAAGCCATACTTGTTTTCCAGCTCAGAGCTGAAGAACATTGTGAAGATCCCACCTGCACAGCACGGTGGGAATGTGACTGTGTGTGCTCTCTTATTCATAACACTGAGCAGCTCCCTGACTAAACACTCTTTTCTCTTCCCAGCCATCACTAACCAGCTATTCTTCTCTCAGCTCAACTTCAACCTGCACTTAACCATTAACTGTGTCTATCTGTACCTAAAAATTATTTGAAATGGAACATTCAATTATTACAGATCTTAAACACACAGAACAAGGCTGCTGTTTGATTTCTGTTTCAGAAACGATAAAACACTCCAGCATCACACTCTCTTTCTCTCCAACAGCAGCTGAGCCACTAAACTGATGACACGAGGATTAACCAGACAGTCTAACAAGTCATTGGTAGAAAGAGCTGTTTGTGAGGTGCATGGACCACAGTCTGAATCCATTTGAGGAGCAGCTGTCTCACAGTCATTACTCATTAGCAATCTGTCCCTCTTGCAGTTTAATTTTCCAAAATGTTCTCCTTCATTTTCATGGAGATCTCCACTGTCACTTTCAACAGCAACTGCACCCATCACACTTGTTTTGTGAGACTGTGGTAAAACCTGAATAAGATGAGGCCCAAAAGGTATTTTCTGCAGCTCTTCTGCTTTGGGTGTTGGAAAGTCACATTCCTGGGCTAGTAATGTGCAGCTCCCTGGTTCACAGCCAGCTTCCCTTCTCTTCCTCTTGCATGAGGCGTTTGTCCTTTGCTTTGCACCAGCACTGCTGGAACGTGCCTGTCCTGACACACTGGCCTCCTGACACTTGAGGTATGCAGACACAGCTTTATTCAGGTACTGAAGATTGATTTCATGGGATGTTGCCTCAACCTAAGAAAACACCCAGAATACACTCAGTTAAAAGGAGACATGTTTCAATTCAGCCTTGCGTGACTATCTTCCATGAATTACTTTTGCTACGTGAAGGGATGGAACTTAAAATTTTTTTCTCAAAGCAGCATAAAGACTCAGGGGGAGCTAAGCAAAATGTCAGTAATTCTTTGTTATTGCTGCTATAATGGGAGCAGTAGAGGGCTTACCTCCGTGGGATTTAGCCAGAGATCTCCATCACTGGGATTTTCTGCTGATTTTATGGCGCATACCAGCATTCGAGTTATTGCCTCTTCTACACGGGCTTCATGATCTGCATCCTGCCTCAAGAGAACAGAAGGTTTAAGGAGATGCATTAGCTCATGGGTCTCTGCAGAAAAGCTGAAAGATCTTAGGAAAAACAGATGGCCTTAGTTTGAAAGCCACACTCATGTATGTGAAGTCAGTGGAAGGTTTCAGGCTCTCTTCCTGTGTACACCCCTCAAACGGGTGACAGCACAGGCTTTGGTGTGATTGCTCATCTGAATAAGAATTTGCAAAAAATAGTATGTGTATACAATATTTTTCCTTATTAGTGTTTTGTTAATTGAATCTGTTGCTTGAAATTACAATGCAATATTAGCATTTAATTAATGTATGCATTTAAACAGCTCTTTAGGACTATAAGAGCCATAGAAGTACACAGCACATTTTTGTATCTACATATTATGTCTAATTTAAGCAATTAAAACACACAGGATGTTATAGCAAGGCAGCAGCTATCTAGGCGCTACACAAGCACAAAAGTGCTTGTATTAAGGAAATTTAGGAAATATTTTATGATGTAACAGAAGCTGACAAACTGCTGCACTTTTGAATGTTACCAGAACGAAAAGCATGCTTGCTCGGAAAACTCTCCTGCAAAACTGAAAACTAACTTACTAACCTAATAACAGGCTCTTTGGTTCAGGCCTTCACTTCCTGCATCATCTCCCTTGGACAGCTGGATACTAGCTAGGTTAGGATAGCAGAACAAAATTTTATAGGATCATAGCTTTTGTTTCCCATTTGAGTTTCTTGTATGTGGAAGGAACTGTAGGCTCTCCAAACAGGGTAGTGGTTTGGTTATCTCAATGACAAATTGATACCTAAATTTGCTTTAATTGAGCTGCATAAATGTATTTGTTTTGGAGGGAAGATGCAACATGGTCAACCCACAGCCCTGATCAGTCTAACTGTGGCTCTAGGAAACCTGTCAAGCAAACCACACATCTGGCTAGTATGAGTGCTGAAGGCAGCAATTTGTCCTGGAACCCTAAGGAGAATCTGGGATAGAAGCAGGGGGAAGTGATCTTGGTATTTCATGGGTTTGGATGATAGGCTTTTTAATGGCCTTGTATAAAAATACCACCAAAATACAGAGTTTGGTATCTACATATGGAAATTATTTAAGGTGTTGCATTCTTGGTATTCATCCTGGCCTGCTGTACAGGGCTGTACTGATTGCATGAAAGTATGTTAGAAAGCAAGAAATACTTTTGGGTAGCTCAGATCCAGCTGAAAACAAATTAAATTTCCACTCTAAACTCTTGCCAATATAATTAATGGTTTCACTGGGACTGTAATTGTTGGTGTGATTCACATCTGTCAATATGAAAGCAGCTGGTAACAGCTGCAAGCAAGAACTGCTTGGTTTGGTAATGCAAATGTTCTGAGAATTGTCTTTTAGAATCCATGTCAGAATTTATTTTATAGATGGATTACCCTAACAAACAATGCTGCATCATCAGCTGCAGGGACGATTTCTGTAAGGAACTTTCACCTGGGCTGCAAGAGCCACATTTGCTCATGGCAGATACTGATATCTGGGGAGGGTGTGTGTAATTTATCAGCAAGACCAGCAAACACTCCTCTGCTTATGATGCCAAACAACCACTGACTCTTGCTGTCACCAAACAGGATCTTGGGATTTCTGCAAGACCTTTGTGACAGAAAAGGACATAGAGTTTAGCTCCACTTTTTTTTTTAACCTTGCAACACCTAAGAACAGCTAGAAATGCTCAGGCCCCACCCCAGCACCTGGGAGCTACCAGCCGAGCTGATCCCATTACAGCCTGCTCCTCCAGAGGGGGACAACCTGTGAGGCCCAGCTTAGGGCACAAGTGTGTGTGGTGACATCAGGGCCTTCCCAAGCTCAGGGCACACAGCCAGTTCCTCTGAATTACCTCAAAGGCTCAAATTCAAGACAGGCTTAAGTGGCTGCTCTACAATATAATTGGTGCTTTCTCTGGCACTGGAAGCAGCCTGACTGCACTTAGGGCTATGTAAGAGCCTGGGCTGGGCTGTGGGCCTGCTTTCCTTGCTAAATACACAAGTTTCATCTCAAAAATTTCTCCATGAGGGAAATACCCAAGTGAGTTCCTCTGCTCTGCTTGGTTTGATGTTGGTATGAGAAATGCTTCGTGTGGTCTTGGAACAGCAGATGAATGCATGTGTTCTGTGTTCTTTCCCCTGCAGATTTCCAGTCTAATACAGGTCTTACAAGTGGAAAAACAAAAAAAAAGGAAGCGAGTATTTTAGTGAGGCAGCTTTCACAGGCCATTTCAAAAGGTCTTTTTTTTTTTTTTATATTAACCTAGAATTAATAATAATGTCAATCAGAAAACCTTCTGGAGTATTGAGATGATCTAGTGGAAGATGTCCCTGGTCCCTGCAGAGTGATTGGATTAGACAACTTTTAAATGTCCCTTCCAACTCAAACTATTCCATGATTCTATGATATCCCTGGAACCGTCCCATATATACTGGTTAACATGAGCAAGAAAAATCAAAGCCCAGGGAGAAGAAAATTAATTAAGTTCATGAGGAAATGTAACTTCAGCCAAATCAAAACTATCACAGAGGAATGAAAATTCAAAAATCTTCTTCCCCTCCCTTCCTACTCACATTAATCTGATTTAAATTCTAATTTAGCTTTGCGCATAAGCTTGTCCTTGAAGTGAAGTTGCTGGTTTTTTGTTCTCTATTCAGCACAAAGCTGTCTGGCCCTTAAGAAACTAGGCATGAAAATTTAGCTTGTGCTTAATTGTTTACCTGATTGAAGTTGAACTGAAAGGGGATTTCTGCTGAACTGGGGCTTCAGATCTGGAATCTTGAAAGGTTCTTCCATAAAAAATGTGTCCATAAGGACTCTTTCCAGCCTCTGAACACAACACACCCAATAGGACTGAACCTGCCTGGCAAGGGACAGAAATCCCTTGGAAATGCTACATCCCCAGAACATTAAAAGGAAAATACCAGTTCAATCCAAGAGTTTATGCTGACAGTGACAGGATCAATGGATTCCACATAGTGCCACCAGTGCCTTGGAACGAGCAGGACCTGGAATTGGAGACATTACATTAGGGTACAAGCAGAAGCCTGAAGAAAGACACAGTTTTTAAATTTAGGTGATGTGGGATGTAAAGACAGAACCGAGGTAAAGACACAGGTGAGAGGTGATATTTATTTCTCTTTTTAAGAGCCTTTTCTCAAGACTTAAATGCCCACTCTACCAACACTGTCACATAAGAAATGGACATGATGCAGAACTACCTTTCACCCAAACTCCTTCCCATATGGTCCCAATCAAGACTATAACCTTTAACTGCTGTAGGTAAGCAAAGTCCAGCAGTACAGAGGGCTGCAGCTGGTGCAGCAGTACATCAGGGCTTCAGAGAGAGTCTCAGCCAAGCAGGAATTCTTTTGTAGACTCTCCAGCTGAGCAGACATCCCAGTTCCTTTAGGAACTGCCAGCTGGTTTCCCCAAAAAGCAGGCATCCCTATGCTCATCTAGATGACTAGGTGACAAAATATAGCTTTAATTCTGGTAAATAATCACCAGTATTAAATTTGTCACTTTTAGTAGACAGGCTTTTAAAAGACACTGTCATGATTTCTGGGACAATCTAGTTTAGATCAGAGCTTTATAACAATATCAGGACGATAGCTGTGACATAAAATTGATTCCAACCCATGGTTTTTATGGTACATGACAATGATGTTGTTTCGATGGTAGAGGACAAGCTTTGCAGATTAGATTAACATGGAGCTATCAAGGAAAGCATAAAAGATATTTTTTGACAAGTCATAAAAATGGTCAGAGACAGATAAAAATATACACTTCACAATGGGGAAAGTGAAGCAATGATCTGTATCTGACTTGCAGACAATTCTTTCTCTTGGTAGACACAAATTACTTAGAAGAATGTTCTGCTACCCAAATAGCCCTGTGCTTCATTATATCAAAACACGGCTAATGAGAAAATGTCTGTGGAAGAAACAATGGCACCAGTTCTGCAAACACTTACAGGACACTTGGAACACTCTCATTTCTTGGGCCAGATGACAAACTGTTCTCCACAGGCTTCAATTTAAATCAAACAAAAAAAAAGCACTGCTCTCCAAAGGTCAAAAACATTTGGAAATTATTCTTTAATCCAGTACAGCATACAGAATAGAAAAGGAAGTCAGTCAGTGGAGGGTCATTACTTTAAAAATATCACTAGTTAGTTCTGATATATAAATGGATGAAACCCTACAAACTGCAGCCAAAACATGTTTTCCACACTGAACAAGTTTCAGAGTTTTATTTTTATCAAGGAAACATCCACTTCAAATGAACAGTGCAGTTGTATTAGCAGCAATGGGTTTATCTGTAAGGAAGTGTTTGCAAGTTTTACTGACTGCAAAATCATACAACCCTCCCCCCCAAAAATGCTCATCTGCTCTATAGGGGATCTTACACTGAGCTCTGCTAAAGATCTGGGTGCCCTCCAAGTGACTGGGTGTAATGATGAACCCTGGCAAACTTTGTTTTACAGCAGAAGAAAGCAGAGCTCCCATAAGCAGCAACAGCAGGATCCTTCCTGTGAGACTTGTGTAGGAACAGTGAGCTTCCAACATGCTGGAGAGGTGGATGAAGACACTGGGGGATTGGGGCAGAGGGACTATGTAGCAGGGGAACATGAGCAAGAGACAAATTACAGGAAGTGTATAAATGTTTCAGGAAGAGATGCTGCCTGGAAAACCAAGAAGGAAATTATGGAACGTGCTGTCTCCACATGACTCACACACAAAATGGAGACAGAATTGCTTTGGAGAGAGGAGGTATAGCCAGAAGGAAAATGCAATCCCCCAACTTGTCCTGCATTTTCAAACCAAAGAGGAGGAACTTGGTCCTTTAGAGCCTAATCAGATTTCCCTTGCAGGGAAGGGTAATAACTACAAAGTTGTGTCTTTCTGGAGCTGTTTGTTGGTACTGTTTGCTGATGCAGTGAGCTGTGACTCAAATAGGCAAAAGAAGTCCATAAAGACACTTGCTCTCCCTTTTTTATTGTTGAAAAAGCTTATGCTCGTTAAAATAAGGATTTATAGCAACAAGAAAATTGAAATTATCAAAAAGCAAAAGGACTAAAACTTTAAGGAAGATAAAGAAATGGAAAAAGGTAATTAAAACCAAAACATACAGCTGGCAAGAGAGCAGAACTAACAAGACAAAAAAAAAAAAAAAAACACCCCAAAAAACACAACAACCCAGAAAAGAAAGAGGTAGGATTCTTCTATGTTTATAAACTAGTATTCTTCTAGGTTTTTAAATTAGAAGCAAACATATGCACAACAAAATGAAAACAAACAAAAAAAGCACCACTCCCACCTCTAATGATCAATTCCACAATAAAATAAAGCAGACTTCCATATGTTTATGAATATGGGACACAGATTTAGTTACATTCCTATAGGAAAGTAAGCCACAGTGAAACAACACATACAAATGCAGCAAACATACAAATTTTACAGGGAAAATGTAAAGTGCAATAGCAAGACAGACTAAGAGATAATCTTGTGCTAGCCTGCTTTCTACAGAACTTATCTAACTTTATTAGTGCTGGGAAGATACTGATCTAAACAGTAACGAATCAGATAATTTTAATATTTAGGCTAGTGACATCCAAATATAGCAAATGAAGTTAAAGTAGGGCAGAAGTCCCAGAAAAGATAAAATGAGATGCTGTAATGGGAGGAAAGAAACCAAAGGAACAGTTGGGAGAGCAAGTGGAGCAATGCTGAAGACTTGTACAGCACAGAGAACAGAGCAGGTTTGAATTCTCAGTGGACATGATTAACTTGATACAGTGCAAAGGTAGGGCAAAGGTGGAATTGCTTCAAAAGGAGAGCATACCCTGAAGTGAAATATTATACCAAGAAATTTCTGCTCATTAGAAGAAGATATTTACATAAATGCACACAAAAAGGAAGCCAGTGTGATGGGATGATAAAGATATCGAGCCATGGGGGGACCCAAGGAAATCCCAGTAGCGTTTGCAACCATGGCAATGAAAAATAAAATGAAGTAGGTGCAGGCATAGTGAATTCTGTGGCAACACCACCTGAGGACTCTGTGCGAGCACTGCTGCCCCAGCCTATGCCTCATCCCAGCTGGTGCCTGGCGGTCCTGGTGCTCGGAGGGTGCTTCCCATCCTGCCTCCCTTCCCGTGTCTTCCCATCTACTAAAACGGAGCTCCAAGGGTGACTGGAGTCAGAAATATGGCCACAGCCCTGGGGAAAAGCACAGTGAAGACGGAGGGAGTGGGGCTGTATCAGGCCATGCCCACAGTGACCCAGGCACAGCTCAGGGAAGAGGTGGAGAAGTAGAGTCAGGAACCTGCAGCTTTGACCTTTTGTTTGCCTGGCTTTTGAGGCATTACTGGGGTTCTCCAAATGTTGCAGGTTGAGCAGTGTTTTTACCACCAATCCTAGAATAAATTCAGCTCCTGGACTCTTCTGCTTCCTCTGTGATGGAGATAATAGTTCTGGTGTCTTGAGGTTGGGTTGGGCTGTCTGCCTTCTCTATGGGGTGACCTGGGGCTAGCTCTGCATATGAAAACTCTTAATTCCTTCACCAGAACAGAATTATCAGCCATCTACTATGCATAATGCTGTGGCCAACTCTGAATTCTCTTTTAGTAAAATCACTTAAACTCTTCTCCAACAAAAGTAGATTTTTTCACTGTAACCCCTTTTAAAAAGTCTTTTTTTACTTTGAGCTAGAACATTACGCTACCTTTGAATTACTTTATTTCTTGACTTACTAAAACACTTTTCTTTGGTATCAATTTATTTTCCTTGGCTATCTGGACTGTGTATTCTGCTGTCCACACTTTAAGCCCAATCTGATGTTCTCACACCCTTTCTTTAAAGGCAGCACACAGGGAAATCCCTCCCTGACTTCATGAAGATTTTTTCTTGCTCAGGGTTAGATTAGAAATCAGAGATTGCCTGTGCTGTTGGGAGCTCTGCTGCAGAGCAGGATCCCATGGTGTGTTAGATTCTGCAGCAGAAACACAGAAAGAGAAAATCCTGCAGCTAAATACAAGAACTGAGTGACAACTGTATCTGTGGCCACACAAATGTGCTTCTTTAGACTTTGAGAAAGCAGGTAAGCAGAAGCAGGGGAGGGGAGCTTCTGAGCAGCAGACCATGGTAAGAACCAGCAAGCAGTAATGTTCATACTTTTCTAAAATTGTTTTTTCCCATCCAGTGACAGTATTTTTCATGGCTGGAGGGAGGGCATCCTTCTCAGACTCAATGTGCCTTTAGACTACCTCTGTTAGGCCTTTCCTTGCACTTCTGCACTGGCCAGGCCACAGGGCAGGCAAGCACTGCCTCTAACAGCACCTGTCTGGGGTAGCAAGAGGGGGAATGGGATTGCCCATGGCAGCCCAGAGTGGCAGCTGCTTGCTCTTCGTGCCTTCAGATAAACTCAGATGCGCTTTGTAGTCTCTCTACCATTGTCTAGTTATGTGGATATGGATTAACAGGGAGATGGATTAAGAGCAATTACATTAGCGAGCAGGAAGGAAGCCAGAAGTCAGTGAGAAGTGGGGCAGAGGAAAGAATGATCAGTGATTTTATGCTTGTACAGCATCTCAGTTTTTTGTAGCCTTTTCAGGTGGTATTCATCTCTCCTATTTTTAATCGTCAAAAAAGTTAAGCACTTATGTGTGTAGGCTCCTTCTATAGCCTGTGCTGAAGGACAAGGTGGGATGAATGCTCCTGCAGAACTGTAATTGTGTAAGACAGGAAGGATGAACCACCTTGTTGAGGTGCCAGGTGCCACTGACGGCAGACAGGACATCTGTCCTGAACAGGATTTAAGCTGAGGCTGACAGATCTCTAATTCTCTTAACACTTGTCCCAGAGCATGGGTAGAAGATACTAGAACAGATATGTTTTGTCCCATTTCTGGTCTTTTAGGGAGTATTTGTATGCTTGAGAAAAGAATCAAAGTGCTACTAGAAATGTTGCTCCACACTTAGTCCTCAGCTTTGCAACATAGGTCACTGGGTCCAAACATTTATAAGGAACCCCTACATTTGTGTGACACAACTTCATGGATATAGTGGATATAGTCATGTACTGCTGCAAGCCCTTCAACTGCTCAGCTGCCTATTTGAATAAGCTTGACATCTCAATGTTTTTATAATTTGTTTCAGAACAGATCACGAATGTATAACCAGAAATTATATCTGTTGAAATGCAGCTGACAGCCAATGGTTAGGTACAGGATGAAACCTTTTAAAACCTTGAGTCTCAGTCAGCTACCAAAATTCATAGCAGAGGTTCATCTCTGAACAGTACAATGGAAGGGCACAAAGGATCTAATTGAATCATACTCTGTGCACTGGCACAATGTTACATGAAGGAATTCTGCTTTCAGGCAGAAAGGGTGTAGAAAAATGGCTGGTAGCAAACATCGACCAGAAGGTGGCATTAGACACATTAAGTTTTTTTATATTCAAAGCTGCACTCACCCTACATGCAGCTGCTCTCCTGAATACCTAAGAACACCTTTGTCTTCGTTTTTTCAGTCTTTTATTGTTACAATAATCCAAAATGTTCTGCATACCCTCTGGGAATGAGTGGAGATGCTACATATTATCACAAAATAAAGATGCCTACAAATTCTGCAGTAATTGGGCTAATTCTATGTGAAAACCACTGTTAAGCACATATAAAGACATTATTTAGGAATCCTCTCCCTTGTTAATAAAGGAGTTCTTCTAGGTCATTCCTTTCCTCTCTATCAAATGGCAGCAGTTCCCAGCCACCTGCCTAAAAAGCTTCTGGATGAGATGCTGGCAAGCACCACACAGAAGGCACTGATAAAATGGATGAAGGCAATACCTCCCTGCTCCATCATTGCTTCTACATTACTTTCCCCCCACAAGAAATCCAAACAATATCTCGTTCATGGCAATGCAGACAAATTGTATTACTGAGCTGGCTCAAGATCTTTATTCCTAGCAAGATTAATTTGTAATTGCTTTAAGCCTAATTAAAATTAAGATCATATTAAAGGTTCTCTAGTATACTTGATCATTGCAAAGGAGATTAGAAATTCAAATAGTATTGGGGATCAGGGATAACGCAGTACTGAATGGATGTGACATTTTTATCAATAGTAAAAATTTGTTCTTTGTGCTTTAAATTACTGACTACTGCAACCTTACAAAGTGCTGAATGTGAAACTAATGATTTGCTTTAGGAGTATGAGTATGAGCTAATGTAGTGCAAACAGTAAAGGCTGATCATAGATTCCCCATTTGCATCTGTACCAACTGCAGAGCATACACTTCCAGTAGATGGATATCACCCTTTTGTTGGAAACTACTATCCTGCCCCACTCTGCCTCCTCAAAATTAACTTAATTAGCAAAAATCCATTATTTAAATTGTTGAAGGGAGCTAGGTTTGCCAGTTAGGGACACGGGAACGCTCATACAAGTTGTTGAGCTGGCAGGTCAAAAGAGGTGACAATATCTGCTAGGAGAATGGCAAAAGGGCTCCAGAAGCAGCAATTCCACTGTCTGAGCAATGACCATTGCAAAATTCCTTCGGAAGGGCCTGACAGCTTGAGATGCACAGCAGTGCGTTACAAGGACATGCATGGCTGAACAAATGAAAAACGGTAATTCAGTCTCCAAATACAGACCTTGTTGATTAAATAAAGAAGGACACTATTTACAGCAGGAGACTGGGAATCAAGAGTCCTGAGCCCTACTCTCACGCTGCTGCTGCTGCCTGTGTGACTGTAAACCAGGCATTTACAGTTGAACCTTCTCAGTAAAGCAGGATTAGAAACATTCTCACAGCCCTGTGAAGCATCAGGAAACCTGTGAATGGTCTGCACTCTAAATGCAAGTATCATCATTAAAGTATTTATTAAAGCAACACGTGAAGGCTATTCACTACCAAATATGAGTTCCTTTGCTAGCTCTATATACTCATTAACCAAATGCATTTTATGGAACATACTGCTGTCAGAGTAGACAGGTCAGAGTTCAAAAAAGTTCTGACGTAGACAGATTTGAGGTGGCTGCAAGAAAGATGGTTGAATGGAATCAGGCAGCTGATTGAACTAGCTCTCCAAATGTCTGCGGTTTTTGTACAAAAAAGTGTAGGTAAATAACTGTCAGCAAAGAAAGTTCCTGTGCTGAGAGAAATTTTATAAAGTCTGAATGTGGAGTGAAGGAAGAGGGAAGCTCCACCGTCAATTTGTTAAGATTTCCTAGCCCTTAATTAGCCAGTTAAATAGAGTATTAAGTAACGTAAAGCTTGTATGTAAGTGGTACCTGTCCTGGACTGAGTGTAACAACATGAGCTGTTGAGTTCCTAAAGTCAGGAAAGCGTTTCAGATCAGGGTTGGCAATGTTGACTTTGCTGAATATGCTGGATTCCTCATAAGGGATCCTAGTAGGATAAAGGAAACTGGTGTCACCAGGTGGGAAGAGGTGCCATCTCTTCCTGAAAATAGAGAGAAGATAAAAATGTATTCAGTGCATGTCACTTGCAGCAAAGAACTAAAGGCAGTAGCAAGGTTTTCAATAAAACATAAATCTGCCTCACTGTGTGAATCTCCTACGCAGTGAGAACAGAGACAGTGCTTACAGGCTGCCTCCTGAAAGTGTATTTAAAATATTCCACTTTTTAATTTTTTAACTGAAAAGATTTACAGCTTCTCACCAATCATTTTTAAAGGCAGATAAAATAAAATTTAAAAAACCTCTCCCATCTGGTTTCTTTTTCCTTCTTTTTACATGCAGCATTTACAGATGCTCAGAGCATAAAAAATTGCTCTATAAACTAGAGGAAATAATTTTGTTACAGACAATGTACTTTTGTCCACTAAATGAAAAGCTTTCAAAATCTGTATTTGTTTTGAAAGGAGGGCATTGTGTGTTTAGGATGACAACAGTAAAAGGATATAGATATTATTTTCTGTTTCCTGCAGTTCTTACATGGCTGTTAGTTGTGAGTCCCCCCTTCTCAGTAAAAATCACCTCGATATTCCCATGCCAAAGATGGCATAAATAAAAAATAGATACATCCATAGACATAAGAATCCTTAAACATCTGTATTTTTTTTGTGTTATCAGCACCACATGATGAAAATGTGGTTGGTTGTACATTTAAGAACTTACTGGTGTGACTAAATGCCAGATGGAGCAAGACAGGGTTATTCTGCTCATGAGGGCATTCATGTGTCAGGTTGCTCTCTACATGCCCAAAGAAGCACATGAATGCACACAGTACCAAGCAGAGCTGAGACCACCCCTTGTCCTCAGGAGCTAATGTCTCTATTTCACTTATAAAGACCAGATCAAAGAGAAAAAAAAGAATGTGCCAGAACTGGTGGTGCCAATTTTATGGGTATTATAAATGAAATATCTTAGCAGGTACACATGGGATTTAGAAATAGAAGTTTTATATGGCAGTACTTTAGGTGATAGAATTAACCAGGAGGAATACACAAAGAAAATTTATCACATTTAAGAGGTGCCAGACAAACATTACAATATGACCAATGCACTAAGCAACGGAAAAGTAAAGGCAGCACTTTACAGCACAGCTAGAGAGCTTATGTAGCTCTTCTCTTTGTTTTGGACTCTAGCAAGAGCTTTTCTTTGTGTCCTTTCCCTTGGCACTCACTTCTTGAATTTTGTCTATGGCTTCTGGTTGTCAGTTCTAAGTCACAGATCTGAAAATGTGAGCAAAGCAACTGAATGGCACAAAACCAAAAGGGACAGGAACAGAAGAGATAGGAATAGCAGGACAGTCAGAAATACAGAGACCAGCACAGATGCAAGTGCCATAGGCTGCTGATATTTCTTGGTAATTACCAAAGCAACTGCTGCATGCAAGCATAAAACCACTTCTGAAACTCAAGCCTTATTGCAACTTTCTTTTGCCCTCTAAGCTAGATCCTCTGAGGGGGCAGAAAATGACTAGGTTAGGAGGCTCAGGGTTAATCCTGCAGGCTGACGACAAAGCAATATCATAAAGCAAAAAATTAAGAAGCCTGAGGGATGCAAGGAGGAAATTCAAGATAGCAACAAAGGGCTAAGGACTTGTCCCTGGCTTTCCTGCAAAGGCAAATCTATTTAAGTTTAGCATAAGCTTATATTCTGTTACAAAGCCTGTCTTGTTCGTGAGTCTCAAAAGGGAATCTTTCTGCTCTGAAGAAGCCCAGGATTCACAAGTTTGTAGAAGTTTGCAATCTATTTAAAGGCTTTGTTCTGAAGAGGAAAACAACCTTGTCTTTTCAGGCTGTGCAAAGGCTTTGGATTTCTTTCCCTAAGAGGAACAGGATTTTGGTCTACTTGAGGGGCAGAAAGTGCCTTGGGAAGGTGGACAAAATTGCTGCATGATGCTGGAACTCTGGCTTGGCTCGAGTTCAACATTTGAAGGTAGATATCAAAAAGGCTTGGCAGGTATTGTGTCTGCTACACCACTGTATTTATTTAGTACATCCAGTAGTTAAGTGGATCCTTAGAAGATTATGGCATTTGTCTCATGGTTTTCATTGAGATTTCTGGCTCCTGAATACACTGAAGTGTCTGGACTTCAACACACAATGCTTACTGATGTGATCTGAAGTCTATGGGATTGGCTGCAGCACAGCAGTGCTGAGGGAGGCTTCTAGAGTGTGCACACCCACCCAAGGACCTCAAGGCTGTTTAAAACATGAAAACCCTACACAGAGTTACCCTTCTTAGGGATAAGATGATGACAAATTCATTACCTCAGGCCTTAAAGCCAGTCAGCATGTGGCACTGCCCAGCTAAAAGGCAACACACCTGACTTCCAATCCTGCACCTTAATCACACCACCACCACCATGATCTTACTGTTCTATAAAATGGCAAAGTAATCCCATTGAAAACTTCCTAGCAAATTACTCCTTCCACTCCATACTATCAAACCTAAAAAGTGTGTGCAACTTGTTCTGTTACTCTAGCACTGCTCTAGCATAATAGATAACAACCCAAAAACAAAACAAAAAAACCCCACCACTGACCCTGAGGCCAATATGCGAGGAAAGGAGAAATCAAAGAATGGAAAAAAAAAATACACAAACAGGCAGAAAGATACAGCAATAGCCACATGCTCCCAAATGAGTTTGGAGCCTCAAATGTCCCTTTCAACTTTGCTCACAGCTGGCTGCTCCCATCCTGACGGTCCCCTTTTAAATTAATTCTAGCAGGCTATTAGAGCCTCTTGCACAGACAATATTGTAAAAGTCTAAAGTAGTTTATTTCTATTTTGTTTGGGGGCTTTTTATTTTTAACTCTTTTATCTCCTAATTTCAAATTCCTGAATTCATAACTACCAGGAAGATTAAAGTGTTTATAACTGGATCATGTGACACACAGACTAGAAAATAAAATTGTGTTAACTCTACTTCAGAACGCCCTGAACTTCTGCCATTTCCTGTACAACAGTTATGATGCTCTTCAATCATCGGGGAATACTAAAATAATCAGGACCTAGAATTAATATAAAAGAGTCCAAAACTAACTTAATGCACGGTATAACTCTCCCCTGTATTTGCTGTGTGCACTTGTTACCTTCCTTGTACTTGCAACACTAAGTTGCAGCCGTAGGAGTCCAAATGGCAGGGGGTGTTTGCTCCTTCAGAACCAATCCACAGTGTGCTCTCTTTTCCACTTCTTCCAGGAAAACCAAAGTCAGACCACCTAACATCCTAGAGCAACGAAAAGGTTTATTTATGTAAGCTGTTCAACTGATTCACATCCTATCCTTAGTTCTGAGAGTCTCCTGTCTTCTCCTTCCACTGCTCATCACTCTTTATCCACTGCAGCTGTTTTTCCTTGGTTGGGTTCTGGAGCATTCATAGTCTGTTTCCCTTCCTCCAAAATTCTCATCCCCACCTTTCATATCACTCAGGTTATTCCTTTGCTCTTCAGAAGGGCTGCCCAAATTCTCATGGCCACACGGGGCTTCTTTTCCTTCTCAAACACTCGTTTTTATCTTTCTCCACCCTTAACCATCCACTCAAGCTCAAGATTGCTTTTAGAAAAATTCTTATATATGGCATTTAAAAAGATAATGAAAGGAAAGAAAAATCCCCATTCCCTTTTCAAACAATTTAATATGTATGTGGAATTTTTACTCTCTCTTTTCTCCTATTTCAGCTTCTCCCCATAGTCTGGGAACACAGACTTTACCCCATCTGCGACCCAGTGTTATGCTAGGCTAAGTTTCTTATTATTTAATGGACACATTTGCAACTGCAGAAGCAGTGAACTTAAAACAACTTGATGACAGGGTGAGAGAGGGAAGAACAGGTGTGCATGTATTATGAACACAGTCCTGGATCTTTCCAGTCTGTTGATCCTCCCACCAAGCAATCCTTTGAGGCTGACAGTTGGAAAGAGGCACAGTGAGGTATTTTTCAGACAATCCAAGGGTTTTGCAGAACGGTTCTGTGTAGCTTGGATAAAGCTTTCCCATGTATCTACAGCTCTCCCTGCCACCTGCAGGGCCTGATCATTTGTTTATTGGAAAGCACTTGAGGAATACTGGCCAGATACTGGCACCTTTTGGCTGGAGCCCCAGACTGAGCCTTAAGAAACAGAGATTAAATTTGTGGCTTCCTGATGGTCTTGGGCAAATCGCTTCATCTCTGAGTTTTATTTTTCCCATCTTGAAAAGGAAGATAATGGTATTTGTTCCATTTCAGTAAAGCATTTTGGGGTCATTCACATTACCTAACTTTAGGAACCTAATTTAAGCTTGGCTCCTGCTCTAGTCAAAGCACTCTCAATCAAGCCTTGGAAAAGCCTCTCTCTCTCTACTGTCTATAAAGAGAAAATAGGAGTCTAGGAGTCCTAATTTAAGTATGTAAGCTTGCTGCCTGCAGACAGGTAGATGACTATCCTTTTTTAAGATCTATGGATGAGGAAAACTACAGCTAGACATTATAAAGATGACTTCACCATGACTCTGTATCAGGAAACCCTCAAAATGAGCAATAGCCTTCCCAAAAATTAGGTGTTAAAGATTCTGAATTTCAGAGTTATTGATTTTAAAGATATCATTTGAAAAAAACGCAGAAGTGTAATATAAACATTTGTCAAAGACAGCAAAAGATCAAAACGAAAAAGTTGCTCCTATAGATTTCAGCAGGCATAAAATTTGAAATTCAATACAACTATTTCAGTGAAAAAGTTAAGCATAACACCATTTCTACACTTTAATCTCACACCTAAATAGTTTTTATATTTTGTTACAATTTAAGTGAAAAGAAAGCACATATAATCAATATCAGATTTAAAAGAACTTTTTGAAAATGCTGCTGCTGTAGTAAATAGTAGAAACGATTATGGGTAAAATAGTTTTTAACCAATGAACTGAAAAGGAACTGGTAGTATTACTGAAATCTTGTCACACTGGGTTCCTTTTCTACAATAAAAAGCCACAGTAAGAAGAAATGCACTAAAAGGTGTTCCAACCATAACAGATGGCACATTACTTGTGATATATATTTATTTCATTTGCTGCTTATAATGAAGTTAATCTGTACCCGTATGTCACTTTAAAAGGTCTCATTTCTATTTAAACTTCATGCATGTATCTTGCTCCTGATTTATATCTCAAATTCTGTAATGAAATATCAACTGAACAAAAAATGTAAGATGCTAGATATTGCTCATAGATTAGAATAATGGAATCATTACCTTAGCCCACACAACTGTAAATGATAAACAGTGCAATCTAAATTTCAAACAACTTCTAAATGGCCCTATTAATCACTATAAATAACAGTGCAGTTGGCCTTCTTTTCCCCTTCAAATAACCTTATGTAAATCTAAATAAAATCTAGAAAGAAAAAAAGGAGTTATCATCAAATTCACACAAGAATGGAAGAAAATTTCTACAAAGAACTCCTTTGGCTGGTATAAATTGTGTAATAGTGTTTCAAAAGCTATGTGAGTGTGGAACTGACGGATGCATTTCTCTCCCATGCCTGTGAAAATGGCAGATGACACACACCATATTTGCTTGCATAACACCACCAATTTTTTCCTTCCCAGATTCTGCATTTCAAAAAAAATCCATGGCATAACCATTACATGTGTCTATTCTAAAACTGCAGTACAATCTGTTGTGTGTTAGGTCAGGTGATCAGATTGTGGCATGACACCTGCACAGAAATGCAACTCCTGGGGCCTCAACTTTGCTCTTGAATGGGGGCAAGGGAAAGAAAGAGGTAAAAAAATGGTTGTTTCCTTCAAGTGTGAAGGAAGCAGAAGGATATTCAGGGCTTCTGAGCTCCTATTGGCTTGTGCTGGGAGACACATGGAAATGCTGTCTGTGGAAGCAGAGAAAGAGAAGAGCAAGACAGGACCACAGATAGAGAAAGTTATGCAAAGATCTGGGGAAGTCTGAAACATCCCTGGATCTCCCAGCTTAGTTCAGACAACACAAACCAGTCCAAGGTTACGTGATCCTGGTTATGTTTCCATGTGCTCAGGAAGGAAAGAGGGAAAGAAAGGTAAGTTGATATCTGTGTCCAATCCTTACCTTCAGACCCAATGGAAAGTCTGAAAAGTCTGAAAATCTGAAAAAGACTGATCACTGAAAAACACCAATTTTACTGTCACAAAAGAATAAAATACATATAAGGAGCATGGGAAATACTTCCTGAGGAAATAATTAATTTGAGGGGGCTTATCAGTTCATGGTCGTTGTCACCCCAGTGATACAGTGATTTTACAGGGAATTATGATTCCATTTTCACCTTTCAAAGTTTAGAAATGAGTAAGGCTTTACTTACTCTTCCTTTTTATCTTTTGAAGAAGTACACCTTTTGTATAGCTATCAATTTTGCCGTCTTACAATTTGCAAGGAGAAACAGCAGGAATGTAGATGGAGCAAGACATTGAAATAGGAGATAGGTACAGAGAAAAGAAAAAGAAATACCTTGGGTAGTTGTCCTACTATGTATGGTAATTACCACAGACTATGTACTTCCATGGGCAGGTTACTTCCTGTATTTTACTGCCTCCACAGAATCTCTCCTCCTCACAAACAGTTAATCTAATTATATTAAGAGAAGGAGCTGAGCTACTTATGAAAGTGAGCCACAAGTCAAAACATGGAGCAAAGCCATATTACAGCCTTGTTACTACGAGGAAATACATGCATCAATCCTCCCTCTTGAGTGGAGCTGTTAATTTGGGCACCATTTGGGGGCAAGCTGTATCTGGCCTAAATGAGAAGGAGAGTGATGCCAACCTGGTAGCTCTTTTTTTGTCACTTGGAGTGGTGTTTCTAAACTTGTAAGAAGACCAAGAATTTTGATGGCTGCCACTTGGCAGATTTCAGTTAGCCTAAGAGCCAATGGCTTTTACTCCACAATTTTAAAATAAGTGGCCAAAGGAGCAGAGAGGGATAGCAGGAGAGGTTTCAGACACTACATTAGATAATTTGCAATGGTTCAACTAGGAAGAGATAATATTAATATTTTACCTGGAAAATTTCTGGCTTGTCTTCAAATATCCTAGCAATGTACTTGTAGTCAGCATAAGCCCAGTATTTAGAGTAATCGTAACAACTGAATGGTCCAGAGAGACAAGAAGGCTGCCCACAACTCCAAGCCAAAAACTCCTCAAGTGTAGCTTCCACGTAGCTGCAACTGGTTTCAAACTGGGGAACTAGAGTAACAAAAGAAAAATCAAATATTACATGAGCATTGAGCATAGAACCAATAAAAATAATACAGTTTTCTCAGCTCTGGTTAAACGCAACGTGAGATACAAATCTGACTAGGTTGCTTGACTCTGGTGAATAAAATGGCTCTCATGACCTAACTCATAAGTAAAGTCTGAGACTATTGCTTTTTCATTAAGGTTTAATTGAATGGCTGTTACCTTGAACTTGCTATGAGACAAAAGCACACCAATTGTAGGTGTTGTTCTTCAGCACAGTAACTCAATAACACACCCAAGTTCACTAAACAACTTTGCTTCATCTCCCTTCCTAAGTGTGAGTTGCAAATGTGCACATCAAATATTTCTGTATCCTTAATTTTGTCTCCATAGATTTATGCAGATGGACATGTTCATCTTACCCTTTCCCTAAAGCAATAACCAAACCAGTGTGGTCATGCATAGAAAGTGAGGTATGGAACCACATGCTGCCAGTGATCCATCTAAAACGCTGTGTACCCTTACTTTTCATTTGGGACTGACAAAAGCATATTGCAGTGCTCCTTGGCAAACACAAGAAGTGTAGGGTTTTGCTCCCAGCATGCTTTGGTCAGACTGACTGATACAGCCTTTCAGCTCAAGGTCAGGTCACTTGGAAATCTTTAAGATAACCCACATCACATTACACTTTAATTTCAGTTAATCAGAGATCTTCATTTCCTGCAGCCACTAATTGTGCCATCTTCAAAGAGACTTATCCAGTGTTAAAAAAATATTACTTTACTATAACTACTATTGGGGAAAAATTACTGCAGCCTGCATGAATGACAATGACAGAGCTGCAATTTAATCTTGTGTAACTCGCACAGATCTGCACAGAAATGGGATCCTTTCACTGTTGTGCAGCAGCAGCTCTTCGTTCTTTACCACTTTCATTTTGTTACTGCAGCAATTCTCACAGTCTCATACAGCTTTTACAAACCTTTATCACTATTATTTTGCTATTTTCCATTGTAGTAGCATAGGTAGTCATTTTCTTCTCACTACTATCAAATCATTAATAAAAATGTCAGATAAGCCTCGTTATTCAGCAGTCTGTAACCTGGGTCTGTGCAGTGGATGGGCTTCCTACCTAAGGACTGCATACAAGACATACAAATTACATGCAATTCACAAAATCCCAGTCAAAACCCTCTGTATTGGATCCCAAGTCTGTGTTGCAGTCCCTCTCCTGATACCCAGTTTTTAATGCAATATATATAATTTTACTAAAAGGTGGTCTGACAGAAAAATTAGACAAAAGATAAAAGCAGGACTGAGGGTGCCTCAATATCTGTCTTACTTTCATGAGAACAAAGAGTGCTTAGGACACTGCCTATTTTCCAAGAAAACTCAGAAGCAAATATTTTAAAGGCAAGAAATATGCTTTTTCTACCTCTCAGCATATTTCACTCTCAGTTTCATTTAAAAAAATTCAACTATGAAAGGCAAGACTGTCTTGTAGAATACAATCTCCTCAGGGCAGGGTTCTTGGTTTGATTTATACCTTGTTCAGTACCAAGGTGTGGGTGCTTATGGAAAAATAAGTAGTAATAAAAAACACATTTGGGCAATCTAGACAGTTTGCTTAGATGAGTTTGTAGGCTGCAACAAGGGTGAAAATGTTAGCAATGAGCAACTGAAAACAAGGAGATTATTAACCAGTTTGCTAACACTTAATGACTTAAAGCTGAGGGTGTTCTGTAATTGACAAATTGCAGATTAAGCCATGCAAGTCTAAAGTAAGCTGCCAGTTCTGTCTGATGACATGGTACCTGAAGGCATAACAGTCCTTCTCTTTCCCCTAATACCAGATTGGAGGGAAGGAGAGAGGGGAAAAAGTGGTTTTTGGAGAAGCAGCTCTCCTCTTTAGTTAAGGTCTAGTTCTGACAGTTGCCAAAATCTGTTCTTCTCAGAGTGTTTGCAATGTGTACTAAGGAAAATGTAGAAAAAAAAGGTGTAATACATAAAGCTCCAGTAAGAATGCAAGTGAAATGTCTTCTCCATTTCATTAAAGAAAATCAAACCCCTATTCACAGTTGCTGGGGAATTAAACAAATAATCCAAGCAAGGAATAGCCATTTCATACTATAACAAAGCACAGGCATTCTCACAAAGAAAAAAACTTGGCCATGCACATCCAACTCCATTAACCACTTCAGTTCTCAGCTTTATGCAACATTTAATCAGTGTACAGTATTTGTACTGTATTTTCAGCCTCCGATTCAGCTACTGGTTCTACAGCCACCTTTGCAGTCTCCCTCTACATCAAACCTCAGAGACCTGAATTCTTTTGCCATCCTTAGAGGTAAAACCTCTTGGCAAGATGGTCAAGTTGAAGCCCTTTCCTATCCAACTGCACATCTGACAGCATCAGCTCTATCCAGCATCAGCAAGAGAAACATCCTTCAGAGATCTTGTGACTCAGAAACTGATCAGCATGACAGCTTCTTGTTCTCTCCAGCTTCTTCACAGTAAACTCATTGTTGATTCATTTTTATGCAACCACCAAAAATGGTCATAACAAGAAATGGCTGTATACAGACAGAAGTAATTTCTGTTTAAGTTTTCTTCTTACTTTGTGCTGGTGTGCTCCAGGTAGCTCCAGACACAATAGCTATAATCCTGCATTTTCTCTGTCAGAAGCCAGACTTCTTTAGCTTTGGCCTACATCTGAAAAATAAATCTTTTAGTGTGGCTGGAACCAGATGGGTAGGGATTTCCTGATTAATAGCACCTTCACTGTTCTTGTAATGAACGCTGGTACTCTCTTTGAAGGTATCTTTTGTCAATGCTTAGTCTTGATTGTATTTTTTCCCCTTCTTATGGACACAAATTGTTTAACTTGTGTAATCAGACAGAATACTATCAAACACATACTTAGGTACAAAAACCATACACAAATAATACTGCCAGCTCTCACATTTTTCCACATTTCAAATGTGCTATCCACATCAATATGCCTCAGGAAATTACAAACTAGAAAGGATAGCAAATACAAAATGCAGGCAACTCCCACCAAATTGTCCCATTTGCAATTCTCCCTTTTGTACATTAAGGAATCTTCAGCTTGAGAAACCCATCCAGGCTGCAGATGTGGCACTAAAGAAAGATGAAGAGTTGCTGTAGTAAGAGGTCTCCATTAATTTTGAGTCTTCCAGATTGTGCTGGTCTCAACTAGGGAAGGACAGACTCAGAGAGGTTTTTTTCTATGAGAACTTCCTCTGTGAGTTGATGGGACCAATTGAAGGCTGGTTTGGTTATTGACAGCTTGAGAAACTATAAACAGATGAACCTCACAGCTTAAATAACCTCAGAAACTCTGCAGCTGCCATTTCAGAGTGTCACCAAAATGTGCCTTTATGCAGGAGAGTGAATTTTTTATTCTACACTTCCAACTCCATAGTAGGAGTGGTCTCACCTAGTCTTAAGGCAATAAACCTCTTGTGAACATGGAAGTAATATTCAGAGAGACATCAATGCAATTTTAGTTGTATTCTAAAATATTAATTCTGTTCTCTCTCTAAGGACAGGACTAGCTCCATTTCACCTAGGAAAGTTAGCAGCAACAGTAAGAAAGAAAGGCCCTCATTAAAAGTCGTTTTAAGCATGCAAGAGTGAGATCAAGCACCTTCCAAACAACAGTGGCACATGGAATGTATTTCAGACTCTGAGATGGCTTGGATAATGGCTTCACTAATATAGTCTTACACTGAAATTTTTTTATGGCATCACAGGTCTCATTCAGTTACAATATAACCCCTGAAGGCTGTACCCATCTCCTTGAAGACAATTCTAACCAACATTACCACATAATGGAGGTTCCTGGAGACAAACTGATTGCTGCACAGGGATAAATGCCTTTAGGGAAAAGCAAAATGCAGATAGATGCTTCAAGATATAAATTCCAATTTAAATCGACTCTGTATCTCTAGTGACTATAAGTTATTGTTAAGTGATGACTCTTAATCTGCTCAGTTGGTAGTATCAATCTGTGACTTAGCTACATAACACTCCATCAGTCCCATCAGAAACTCTGCCAGTTGGAAAATCCATCTGGCTCTCAAAAAGTGCCTACTAATTAATGGAGAGTAGGACCAAAACTACTCTTTTACCTGGCAGGCCTTGTGTGTTACAACTCAGATATATTAACAAGGTTATCAAGGAAAGTGTCATATATATATATATATACATATATATATATATATACATATATATATATATATATATGTTACACCTTCTCCATTGGCAATGGGATGCATTTCACACTTAGTGCAAGAATTAGGTGGTACCTCACTGAACTACAGAGATATTGCTATGAAGATGTGTACCAAGGTTTTAATTCTACACCTCAGTTTTCCCATCTGTAGAAAGTGAGTAAATAATATCTGTTCCCCCCAGAAATAGCATAGAAATCATTAATCCATGCTGGCAAAGTGCTTTGAAATCCTAACATGCCAAGCATTTTCCCTCTAACACTTGTTTCATCACTTCTCTTGCAAAAATTGAACATGAAATAACATGGTCATGATGCTGTGAGGAAAGCAAACTTCACAGTGTTAAGTAAGATAGTATGATGTAATCCTACCACTTTCCCTGGAACTGGCAGACCCTCATCTGGAGTCTTTGTGCAGACTCTACATTCCAAGAAAGAGGAAGTCCAACTGGAAAAGGTTAGAAGACATATGAAAGAATAGTTGTGTGGGGTCTAAAAGACCATGACAGATTAAATATTTTTAAAGTGGATTTTTCTGGCCTAAGGGTTAAAAAAAATCCTAAAGGTAGTCAAGATACTTTATAGGCAAAAGGGAGAAAGTGCATGGCAAAATGTATTCTGGTATGTCGCTGGGAGGGCAAAGGATGTAAAGGGCAGGAATAAAGCAGAGTATAGCCTTTGAAGTGGATAGCAGATTGCCACCTTGGAACATGTTTCTTCTATCTTCCCTCTGTGGTATGAAACTCAGTCTGTCCATGGACACACTACTGTGTGGCTACAGATGGAGATGAAGTTGTAGTATTTAAAATCAAATTGGAAAACTGTATTTCTCCCATGGCATGTTCCAAGATGTATGAGTGAATCTGGAGGGCTAGAAGTGAAATTATTGCACTGGTGTCAAATGATTTTCTTAATCCTTTACATTTCCATCATGTCTTTCATCATAGGACCTTAAAGTACTGAAAATCACCTAAAAATGTCTGGAGGAGGGTGAGAATTACCACCATTACAGATAAAAACCCCAAGTCAGGTAATTATTTAGCTAATTCCTTAACACAGTCAGGCTTGTAGATATGGAAGCTCAGTTCACATGAACAATCTGATCACATGTAAGACCAGGACCGAACACACACACTACAAAGCAAGGAAGGCAAACTGACAGGCTTGGTTCTTAAATGCTGGTGTTAACCACCAGACCCCTACTAAGAATAAACACATGAGAAAGGAGAGTTCTACTACTGGCCAAATCCCATTCCTAAAAGCAGAGCCTGCAATGAAAAGCAATACATTAGAGAAAGAACAGTTATAACCAAAAGGCAGACAATTGGAGGACCTAAAAAAAGAGACTTGTGACATTAATGACTGTCCACGTCATTCTCACCTAAATCCACTGTCTTCAGACCCAGCCTAAACTGGATTGTCTTTCCCTCCAACACGGCAGAAAGGTAATTCACATTCCAGTGCAGGGCTGGCCAGTTGCCAACCATGTTACAGAAGACTGCAGGTTGCTGTAGAGACATCACAATTTCCTTGGTTTTCTCAGGAGTAAATGGTTTGACATCTTCACCTATGTAAAAAAAAAAAAAAACAGATGGAGAGAGGTGATTTATCATACATGAAGTGTTACCTACAATCTTCCATGGAACAGAAAACAAGAACTAAGACCTCCTTTGTTTATACCTGATTTTTTTATTACATTTGTAGATTTTTTTAAAAATCAAAGTTGTACTGCAAACACTGAAGGAACTAAAAGTTTAAAGTGGTGTATTAGCAAATAAAATATAAAGCAAAAAATAAAAATAGGCACATGCTTAGAATTTTCACTTGTATCTTAGGCAGGAAAACACTGTAGCCAAACTACTTAGAAATAGGCTAGCAATAAAATAAACTTGCAAATAACATTCAGAGTTTAGAGAACATAAATTTCATGAGTAACAGTCTTTCTGCATGGGATTCTTTCCAAAATTGTAGTGTATTGTCAGAGATGGCAAACCAGCTCCCCATGCATTACTTTAAACAAAGGAACAGTAGCATAACCAACAGCAGGTATTTTTGAAGTGTTTTAAAATTTCATCAACAGAATTTTAGAAAAACGAAATTATGCCGATCCAAGAACTAAACTAACCCAAGACTTCTATTTATTCCTCTGCTGTTTAGAGATTTATATGCCCCACTGAAACTGTCAAGCTGAAATGCTGGCAACCTTGAATTAACTCAGCATTATCAGAACAACTTTTTTTTAGGGACATATTCAGAAGGAAAAGCCGGGGTTTTTTAAAAGGAATGACATCTCCATAGAGTGGAAGAGGTGGACTACAGCTTCAGATGATAAAAAAATCCATTCATTATTTTAACCTCTACTGAAGTTAACTCATGCAGAATTTGAATCTGTCTAATGGCTAAGATTTAACACACTGAATTGATACACATGGCTCCCCGTGACTTCCAGCAGTTCATTTAAAAACAAACAAATTCAATTAAATCATTGTATTTAGGGGTCAAATGATGGTCTGGCATACACAATGAATTAAATAAATACAGGCCAAGAACATTTCCTTCACTGCTGGGTGCTAATTTTGCCTGTTGCTGCTCTGCATGCATGGGAGATAGCAGAGAACCACCCAGTCACACATGGAGCAACTCTGTGGAGCCAGCCGGGGGAAACACAAGATGACCCACTGGGAACAATGTCACTGACGAAAGTTCTTCAAGATTAATTTAAATGCAACAAAAATCCAAAATAAATTTATGAATGCTGAAGTGAGAATAGCAGGAATAAGAGGTGTCCTGTGCATGCTGTGTGCTGTATCTTGTTGGTAATTTTTGTGAGTCCTTCTACTTTTGACAGGGTTTATACTCCCACATAGCTGTGCTTTTTGGTTTTCTAAATAAAGCTGCTATCTTCCCACAAAGTCAGTGGGAGGTATTGGGGCTGGGGTGTCGTAGAGTCAATGAGTCTCTTATTCCACAGACTTCCAGGGAAATCGAATCCCTCACTTTTCACTCATGAAAACTCCCTTGTGAAGCTTTAAAACTAGAGACCTCTGGTATTTTATCTTCATGGAACAGAGGATTTTTTAATGGCTTCTCTTTCCTAAGGCAGATGACAGGAGGGAGCTTGGGTTTTGGTTTGCTTTCCACATTTCCTCTCGTACGCAGAGCAACACTTGACAGGATGGTGTTGCTGTGACACAGGGATGTCTCTGACACTTGGCCTTCAGTCTCACACTCCAGCAACTTACACAACCAGGACATAAGGAGGCCTCACTGGGACCGTATGTCTCACCATATGCTCTTCCCCACCCCGGGAGGAGGCTCTGGGGCTTCCCAAGGAAGAGGTTAGCACACCTAGAGGGAGCAGGTCAGAGAAGGCACAAAGACCATCTGCACACACAGGGGCATGTGCTGCTGCAGCCACCAGGAGCTGGCTGCAGGCATGGGAAGGAAGAGGTGAAAGCTCAGCATGTTTTTTCACAGTGATTCTGCTCAAGAGCTAAAGCAAGACTTGGTCCAGATCTGAACACTCCCAGGGGGTTTATGAAACTTCTGTCTTTCACCAGTGCAATTATAATATTGTACAGAGGTGGCTTTCACCATGTGGGAGCTGGCAGGCCTTACTTACCTTTCAGATTTTCCAGCTCATAAAAATGAAATTACTTCTGCTTAGGCCACGTTTACCACTGCATAGCTGTCTTTTTGACTACTCAGGAGTTTTTTGCTTTAAGGGCACTGTATTTAAGTATTTTAGAGGAAGCAAACCCAAATAAATGCAAGAAATTGGTGACACTTTTTTGGAGGATTTTGTAAAGCTGACTTTTATTGCAAAAGCTTCAGGTTTATCCTGTAACTTCAGTCAACAGTTGAGATGTGCTACAAAAGCAGAAATTTTACTGGAAGAGACAGGAAGGTTCTTTGAAGCCAACTGTTGATTCTGTGTGGCTTTCTAATGTGATTTCCACATGCACATCATGCTTTTGTAAGGTGTGGTTTTAACAATAGTGCATACACACTCAGTGGGAAGCTCAGAGCTGAAGCTACTGGGAGAGTAGGCCACTGCCAAACAAAAAACCACAATTAGGCTAAATAGCCTCTCCTCTACTGAATGATTGTTATGTCACCATGCTCAGTTGTAAAATATTCTTCTATAAAATTAAGAAAAAATGAAAAAGGACAGTCTGTCTTACTAAGATGCTAATAATTCCTATCTTCAAACAGTATTAAAATCTTTGTTAAATAAGTATATATCTTCTGATATAGATAACTGCATACAATACATATAATGCACAATGACATTTGCAACACTGAAAATTTAAAGACTTAAATAAATATACATTGGGGATTTTTGCAAAGACAAATGCAGATTCTTATTAGATCTGTATGAAGAATCTGTGTCTTGATTCGCCTTTATAAATTCCTTGGTGAGAACAGTCAGCTAAACGTAATTCTTTCCCTATAACACTTGTCATGCACATCTAAGTGCCTGCTAGAGAAAAGACACATGATAAAAGGTAAATATCATATACTACAGCAAATAGATATTATAATAATTTGGAGAATTCTGCTCAAGACCAACAGAGATTTCTGATGGAACCATATGCTGTGGGAGTGGGAAAAAGTAATTAAACAAGATACCTGAAGATAGAAGACCTGAAGAGAGATTAGCAGTATTATAGTTTAAAAAAATCTTTTCCTCAGTTATTGTTATCATAGCTTCACAAAGACCTTACAAACTGGGCTGTTGCTTCTTGGTATTTTATAGCCTGAGATTGATGGTAATTGAATCCAAGGCAAAACCTGTGGTTGTGTAGCATATATAAGCACATACAGTTTGGATACAGATGTGCACAAGTAAAAGGTGAATAAATAAAATGTGTAGCAAAGAAGAAAAATATCCATTGCACATCTTAGGCATTAAATATCAAATTCCCAGGGGAGATTGGGTAGCAGGAGAGAATAGAAATGCATATTCCCTTGAAAAAGAAAAGCTCTGTGGGAGTCTTCATTTTCTCAGCTGTACTCTGATCCACAAGAGAAAAGGAATACTTCAGCTTAGTTCTTTCTATCAGGCTCAACAAACGGTGTGACTTCACAGTACAAAAGAAAGCAGGAATAATTTGTCTCATGTTTTGACTTTACCCAAGGCATGTACAGAATCCAACCAGGAACTGAAAAAATGAACCAAGTTTTAGCTCAAGTTTTGTAACTGTGGCAGCTTATATAATTGGCAAAAAACATAGGTGTTCTTTAGAAAGGCAACACCTTGCAAAATAGAGATCGCCCAATTAAAAAAAGAAAGCTCTCCCGTTGTCTTTACACAAAGTACTGTCAAACACTAAGCCTCATCCAGACTTAGCACTGAGGACAGGTAAAAGAAAAGTAATGAATTGGCCAAGTACTCTCCAGTAGACTTTGCTTCTGAAAGAGAGAATAATTTAATGTTTCTGATTAAGAATTTTTCTGAATAACTGAGTGGGGTTTGGGAATTAAGAGTTTAGCTCAGCAGGCAGTCTAACTAAAAGTGGACTTGATCAAAGTTGTTCAGAAGTTAAATGTACTGTCATTAAAAAGCTAAATGTACTGTCATTCATTTAAAATAATTTAGCAAATTATAAGAGTTCATTAGTGCATGGCAGTTGGCTTCTGCCAAAACACCCTGCTGCTTAAATATGAGATTTAATTGAGAGGTATTAAAATTATTTTCTAAAATAGGGAGTACAAGCAAATCCTGGTAATGTATTTGGTACATGCATCATCAAATTGTTTTTCTTGCAAATCTGTAATGTTCCCTTTTCCTTACTTCTTTTATTAAAAAAAAAATTTAAAAAATTAAATTTTGAATACATTAATACAGAGCAGCAAGGTGAGTCAAAAAATCACCTAACCTCCAGAATCTTAACTATTCAACAACCAGGAGTGGCTAAAGAGAAGGTATGGGGCAGGATGAGCAAGCTCCCCAAACGAAATATAAGTGACTTGGTTTGGAGGTCAGACTTAATGGTTTCACAGTACATTAACTCTGTAAATTAAAAAAACAACTTTAAATAATCTGCATGTGATTACAACACTATGCACTATAATCAGCCTCCTCTGGGCAAACAGAATGCCTCTAAATATACATGAGCAGTTTTCAGAATAGGCTGCACCAACATCTAGGTATTACTTCCTAGCCAGCTATTGCTGTTGCTATTCGTTTTGACTCTGGGAATGGTAATGCTGTAAATGCACATAGCCATCAGACAGCTACCCTAGATTTACAGATGTTTTGGTTACTGAAGGAGAGGTGGTAGTTGCATGGAGAGTCTCAGATAAACCAGTCTGTACTGGTAAGACTGGCACCTGCAGCTCCCTCTGGCAGCCTGCAGCCAACACACCCTTCCTTCCTTCCTCTCTGTGTCTCTTACTGCAGAAGGAGGGCAGCCAAAGAAAGAAAATAAAGAGGCTAAAAGAAGAATTTGGATTCACTTTCCAGTGCCCCTCTGGCAGGGCTGAGCATCTTACAGTTTTTCTTACAGGAAGTCAAAGTGACTTCAGACATGAAGTAAGACAGGAGTGGGGGCCATGCCCAAACCTCATCTTGTCCTTCTGGTAAAGCAACGGGAATTGCAGCCAGACTCCTTCGGGGGGAGTAGGGGCTGAGCCCAGAACACAGGTCTGGGAGAGACTTCCCACCGCTGCTATAAATGACAGTGCATCATCTCAAGCACAGGTTTAGGAAACTCTTCCCCTAAATCCCCTAAGGCCCTTCCTCGAAAGCTCTCCCTGAAGCCCGGGCCAGCTTCTGCCGGATATTCCTCCTCCATCCTGCAGTGCAGGTTCAGAACGCAGCCGTGCTGGTTTTCAGCTAATGAACTGAATGTCGAATGAACTCAGCTCCTCTGGTCTCCTCCAGCAGAATCAATGATTGAAGGAAAAGACTCTGGTCTTTGACCAAAACCTTCCACCAGGATATAAAAAGACAGACTATTCTTCCTTAAGCTAGGCTGACATAATTTCACCTTTCTGTTAGTCTATGGGGTGTAAATTACACACACCTGCTCCCGAGGAAATTCAGTAGCCAAACCATGTCTTCCCAGTAGCCCACCGGCACTGATACACATTTCTGACATTTCCCAATAAACAGAAAATTTAATACAAAATTCAATACTAATACAACATTATAACTGAAGGTAAGGGAACTGGCATGTCAGGAAGTTAAGGTGTGTATTTCTAAGAAAGAAAATAATTTATTCATATTATAAACTTATTTGTATTTCTTTTTCTATTCCTTGTCAGTAGTAAATATCAAAGCACTGCTCTTAAATAGATGAATACACGGTATAAAATTCACTGTCAGAAACTGTAACCAATTGTGACTTTTTTTTTGTTCAGTCCTGGAAACTTGACTGACAAGAACTTTAAAATGTCAAGAACAAAAGAATCGAAATCTTCTAATTTATAATATTTTCCTATAAGCTATTGTAGTA